TCTCATTCTGTTTTCACCCACCAATGCCACACCCCCAAAAGCTTTTCCTCCTAGTTCTCTAACTCATTTTAAAGCTGCTCTGTGTCCTAACCAGTTTGGCTCAGTGGATAGAGCATTGGTCTGCAGACTGAAAGGTCCCAGGTTTGATTCCAGTCAAGTACATACATCTTGATTTCGGACACATCCCCAGAAGGAGGTGTGCAGGAGGCAGGTGATCCATGTGTCTCTCTCATTGATGTTTCTAACTCTCTATCCCTCTCCATTCCTCTCTGTAAAAAATCAATAAAATGTATTTTTAAAAATAAAGAAATAAAGCTGCTCCAAATCCTCATACCATTTTTCATTTAGGACACCAGTTATATTATTTATACCTTTTTTCCTCATATTGAGGCAAAAAGGGTGCACTTTTCCTCTTGATTGTATGATACTTAAAAAAAAAAACCAAAAAGCCAAAAAAACTTAAAAAAATAATAATTTCAGAGAAGGGAGAGAGAGAAGCATCAACGAAGAAAGAGAATGATTGATCGGCTGCCTCCTGCATGTCCCTGACTAGGAATTGAACCGTGACCTTCTGGTTCATAGGTTGACGCTCAACCACTGAGCCATGCTGCCTGGGCAAGATCGTAAGATTCTTTAAATCCTATTCGACAAAAATTATGAAGCTTGTTTTTGAAAGAAAAGAAAAAAAGCATTATAACAGCAACTAGAACTCAGAAAGAAGAAGCTGCAGCTCTGTAACTGCATCTTTCTAGTGGGAGAGAGGCTGCTGCTATCCCGTGTGCAGGAGGCAGGTATGTGGGCATTTGTCGCCCCTGGGCAAGGACTCTGCGCATTTTCTAGCTGGAAGGCCTAAAAGATGATGCAATCTAATATTCGTGTGTCCTAGCCCAGGGAACCGAGAGCACAGAAGTTAGGGACTCATCTCAGGTCATCAGGTCAGTGAGTGGCAGGGTAGGACCATGCCCTAGGCCAGGGCACACACGGCCATACCCCAACACTGCCACACCCCAATACTGCCTCTCATTCTTAGCACACTTGGGAGGGAGTGGGGTGTCACAATGTTAGGTTTATGAACCACAGGGAATACTGTAAAAAACAATTTATAGTCATTGGATATGTCTGGACTGAGTGGCCAAAAAAACAGGGAAGACCTTGAAGGTCATAGAAATGTTTCTCCTTTCATGAATGCATCATCTCCTTACAACTCCCCCCTACAGCTTCTACATAGCTTGCTGGCAACTGATTTTGTGCATGTCCAGTATTTTCACTGTAGCATCTTTGCCGTAGATATATGCCACATTTCACTGCATTTTCACTGCTAATACTTTCACCACCTAAGGCAATTTTGCCATAAAAAGGATAAAATCATGGAAAATAAAAGAGAGACCTTAACAAGAACATAACATTTTTTTAAAGTTTATTGAGAAATACAAAATATTTGAATACATTAAAAATGTGTGTAGATTCATGGTAATACTGTGCAGATAACTGATTTTACTTTGTGGATTGTATCTAAGCACTTGTCTTTGTTCTGTGGGAAATGTGGGTTCAATTCTGCAGCCTCAGAGCGGGCCCTCAGTGTCTCTCCTCCCAATGTCATGGGTTTCAAAATAAGAAGCCAAAAGAAAGAGGAGAAGACAGAAGAGAAGAAGGAAGAAGAAGAGGGGGAGAAGGAGGAGGAGAAGGGAGAAGAGAAGGGGGGGAAGGAGAGAAGGAGGAGGAGGAAAGAAAAGAAAGAAGAGAGGAGGAGGAGGAGGAGGAGGAGGAGGAGGAGGAGGAGGAGGAGGAAGAGGAGGAGGAGGAGGAGGAGGAGGAGGAGGAGGAGGAGGAGAAGAAGAAGAAACAACCAACTATTGGGGCAAATCATCTTTATCTATTTTAAGACCATCACCACTACCCTATCTGCTTATCACCATCTAGGCCTTTCTGAGGCCTAGGTAAGATCTGTTTGTTTTTTGTTCATCCTCACTAGTTCATCCTCTCCATTACTTTTCAGAGAGAGAGAGAGAGAAAGAGAGGGAGAGAGGGAAGAAGGGAGAGAGAGAGAGAGAAAGAGAGAGAGAGAGAGAGATCAATGTGAGAGAGATACATCTTCATCCTCTGGTTGCTTCCTGCATGCACGACAATCAGAGCCCTTGACTGGGAATCAAACCCAAGACCCTTTGGTGGGTGAGCAGATGCTCTAACCACTGAGCACACTAGCAAGGACAATATTTATATGTAATATTAAAATGGGAGCAACTGTGAAAATTTGTCAATGAAGAAATGAAACCAAACTGACAGCTAGCTTAAGTACATTAAGTCCACTGAACACAGTTGGTTTGTCAATGTGGAAATGAAACCAAAGAAACAACAACCCAAACGGTCAGCCAGTTACTTTATCTTTTATGCAGCAGGATTGCTTATTATCAACTAGTTGTGTGGGCGAAAATGCTTGCAGCAAAAATGATTGTGCCAAGGATACTGTGGAGAAAGTACCTAGAACCCAGTTTCTTCCTTTTGAGAATCAAATGGTTCTAGAGTTAATGAGGCATTCATTCACAGGAAAAGGGGAGATTGAACATTTTAAAAGGTCTCATTCCTGGAATTGTGCTCCTCCTGTAAGCCATCAGGAAGGTTCCAGAAAAACTGCCTGATTTTGTTTTTCCCCTAAAAATAGGTATATAATTGAGCTGGGATCTTTATTTTTAAAGGTTTCTCAAAATTATTGCCTTAGTCTCAATAAACAAAACCACACTGAAAGTCTCTCAAGGCATTTTATCCAAAATAAAGTTCTCTTTTAAAACTGGCCTTCCTTCTCTTTATAAGTCATTTATCTCAGCAAAGGATATTTATTCAAAGACTTCATACAACTATTTTAACAAAGTGAAGAAAAAGTATTTCTTTTTTCCCTGCAGTTAAAAAACAATCACATAGTCTATGTAGATGAAACAAAATATACTCTTTTTATTATTATTCCTACTTTTAAATTTATTGATTGATTTGAGAAAGAGAGAGAGAAAAGCATTGATTTGTTGTTCCACTTATTTATGCATTCATTGGTTGATTCTTGTCTTCACCCTGACTGGGGATCAAACCTTCAAACTTGGCATATCAGTTGCTCAGTTGCTCTAACCAACTGAGCTACCTGATCAGGTTATTATTCCTACTTTGGAAAAGAGAGTAGAATAAAGGAATGAACATTGTTGTTACTGCCCCACAAAGACCCCTAAAAAAGTCTCTCAAAGCTTTTAACAACCTGGTTAATTAGCACTTCCCCCAACTCACCTAGGAAGGCAGCATGAATGTTTTCCCTTTTCTTTTTTCCTAATTAGTAAATACAATATATCTCAGTTAGGCTTGCTTCACTGAAGCCCCCATCCTATATAATAAAGAGCTAATATGCTAATTAGACTGAACAGCCAAATGTCCTGATGCCGAGGGGGCTGTGAGGGCTAAAGCAAGAGTGACCTTCCTGAATGACCAGTGGGCAGGGGAGGGGGGAGGGGGCGCGGGTTGGGGGGTGGTGGCAGGGCCAGCTCCTAAGGAGCAGCAAGCTAGCTTCTGGTTAAATGATGCTCATCTCCACCACCACCCCCCCTTGCCCCTGCTCCCCCTACTCAGCCAGAAGCTGGGCTCATGGGAGGCAGACATCCCCCAAGGGGTCCTGGGCTGCAAAAGGGCGCAGGCCAAGCTGAGGGACACAACCCCTGTCCAGTGCATGAATTTTGTGCACCGGGCCTCTAGTGTAGAATAACAACCTGCCTGCAGGCTAACATAGGTGTGTGTGAGATTAGAGAAAACGGCTCTTATATCCTGCTAATTCAAACTCAAGAGCTCCACCCCTGTTCTTAGGAAGAAAGAAAGCTTGGTTGTGAATCATTGCACGGCATTTATCTATCTGTGAAGCCAAAAACAACAGAATACCCTTATACTCATCGTTATAAATATTTGTAATTACACTTTCTAACATGAATTCGGCATTCCTCGGCCCAAGTAACATTAGCTGAGAGCAAGGGAAGGCATGATAAGGGAGACTGCACGTTGGGCGTTGGGGTCAGACGAAGGTAGGACTGGACCTCAGCTACACTAATGGCAGCAACACTGGTCTGGGCCAGGCAGGCAGTCTCCTTGAGCTGCTTTTTTTAAACCACAAAATAGGAGTAATACCCACCTCAGAGATGTATGAAAATTAAATACAACCAAATGAAAAAAAAAAGCACACAGCCTAATTTCTGGCATGTGAAAGATGTTCACTGGCCACTAGCTTCCCTCAGTTGACACATCTGTAGAATGAGGGGGTAATATAACCTCCCTAATGAAGCCAGTGTGGGGGTCAAGTGAAACAACTCACCCTTGTCAGTTTCCTCTCCTTGTTTATTTCCTAGCCCCGGTCCCCACCCCCATACCAAAGCTACAAATGCGGAAAGGGCAATTCAGCATATTAGAAAAGAACTGAGAGAGGAAGTTCATCTTATGTCAGTAGGTTTTTTGTTTGCTTGTTTTTAACTTATCTATGGATTTATAACTGTTTCTCAGATTTAAAAAAAAAAATGACCAGAATTAAGTATTTTTAAGAGACTAGGAACAAGCCGGAGTCACTGGACAATTGGGAGCGCTCAAGGTGATGCAAGTGTGAGAATGGACCCACCCCAGTCCATCCCGATCAACCATCTAAGCATTTACTTTAAACAAACAAACAAAAGCCACCGTGTCCCTGCAAGCTATCCAGCAGTTGACTAAGAACGACAAGAGAGATGCAAAGAGAGAAAAAAAAAAACCAGCTGGGAGGAAGTTTTCACACAAATCTGAGTTCTCTTCCAAAAAGATCATTGACATTAACACGTTATCTGCTGAATCCTATGGAGCTCCCAAAATAGCCACTTTTTTTTTTTTTTTTTTTTTTTTTTTTAAGCAGGAAGTATCGAGTCTACACGTAGCCTTCTCTGAGGCTGCGGTTCACCAGTTCAGGCAGCAGCACAGACTGGCCCGCAGGCCGCTGGCCACCGCTCCCGGCTGTCAGCTCCCAGTCACCTCTGCCCGAGCAAGGCACGGCCGCCAAGGTCATTCCTAAGGGAGGGAATACAGGAAAGCCTCCCTCTCGTCTTAAGAACGGTCCCTTACTTAATTATTTTGGGAAAGTCCTTCTATGGTTCAGGTTGGATCAATTGCAATATGTACGTACACGATTGACCCACACCAAAGACGGAGGGAAACGCCCTATGGGCTTGCAGAAGGAGGTGCTCCGAACCCGGCACAGAAGCTTCCTTAAGCAAGCACCTTGACGCTGGAGGCACAAAGCCAATAAAAGGGGGAGGAGGGCATCCAACCAGAATGTCAGAACATCTTTTTCCCTTTGAAAGCACTCATTTATTTTTTCTAATTTTTTTTTTTTTTCCTTGGAGGAGAAACCAGATTAAAAACGCAACCACCTTTGGAGAGAACCTTAGACCAGACGGCAAAGGCGCGCGGTGCGGCGGGCGCCGGGGTCCAGGCAGGGATCCAGGCGGGGGTCCAGGCGGGGGTCCAGGCGGGGATCCAGGCGGGGTGTCTCCGGGCTCGCTAGCACCCCCCTTCCTCGGGCTCGCTGCAGGGCGAAGGCGCGGACGAGGCCTTGGACTCGCCGTCGCTGTTGCACTCGGACCTGCGCGGCGGGCCGGCCGCGCTCTCCTGGCCCCGCGGGTGGCGCTCCAGCAGCCCCTGCAGGTGCCGGATGTAGCCGATGGCGGCGCGCAGCGTCTCCACCTTGCTCAGCCGCTTGCCCGCCAGCTCGCGGGGCAGGTGGTCCCGCAGGCGCGCGTAGCCCTCGTTCACGCAGCGCACCCGCTGCCGCTCGCGCTCGTTGCGCCTGCGGAGGAAGGCGGGCTCGAGGGCGCCGTCCAGCGGCAGGGGCAGGTAGGGCCGCCTCGGGGCGCAGCACGCGGCAGCGTCTAGGTGCAGGGAGACCCTGAAGGGGTCTCGCAGGGGGAGGCGGGGCAGGGCCTCGGGCAGGCTCAGGGGCCCCGGGTGGAGGGGGTATGGCAAGGTCAGCAGGCCGGCCGATGTACGCGTCTCCATCACTCGCCCAAAAAAAGCCAGCGATCAGATCAACCAAGAAGGCAACGTCTCGGCAGAAAATGAGGCTGCAGAACTTCAAAGCGGAGAGGACGGTCCATTCAGACTGCCCGGCGCAGAAGCTCTGTTTGGGGGGAAGCGTCTGAGTCCCCAAGCTCCGTTCCAGGGAAACTTTGCATGATCCCGTCAAGCCAGGGCACCCCTCAGTCTCTTTATAAAGTCCCAGACGGAGGTGCCAGGCGGAGATTTAGGACCCTCCCTAATCCACACTTCAAACCTCGTCTTCCTCTCTGATCTTCTTCTTTCAAAAAGGTAACAAAAGGGGTTCCTCTGCTCGCTCGCCCAGCCTGGAAATGTGAGCGCACAGCAAACAGAGTAAATCTCCCGGAGCCTCCCGAGGTTGGCAATTACTGTAATCCGCTGAGCTGGGTCTTCAAGGGCCGGGGAATCCTCGAGGATTCGCGAGGGCTCCTCCCAGGAACCAAACAGGCCTCCTGGCGGCGGGGCGAGGCTCCACCGGAGGCTCTCTCCTGGAAAATCAAAACGTGAGCTGCCCTTTGTGGTTTCCGGCGGCGTCCAGGGCGAATGGAAAGGGCTTTCAAGGCTGTTTGCAAACTTGCACTTGCTCTTTCATTTTGGGGGGAGGTGGAGAGAAGACCTCATCCAAAGGAAGACTGCTCCCTGGTGGTTATAAAATGTGTCAGATCCAGGAGGACCCCGTGGGGGTGGGAAGGCTTGAGGGTTTTCTTCTCCAAAACCAAGTCTTTATTAAGAGACCCAATGAGACGCTGTTTGAAGGAGACAGGCATGGAAATAATACTTGAGCAACACTAACCTATGAGGCTCCAGGCTGGCGAGCGCAGGGCGCTCTGTGTAGCTGGTACTTCTCAGGAGGCACATCAAAAGCCCGAGCGGTAACAAACACGCTTCGCCAGAGTTACATCTCACAGTGCTTACTGTAAACACGGTTTAAACACTGCTTTCCGACCTCTTCTAATCCCACCCAGGATATAAGGACATCAGCTTTCCACAGTGTAAAGAGTATATTTCTATTGTATTCTCTTTGTCTTAAAAAAGAGAGAGAAAAAGAGAGAGAGGCAATTTATTGTCCCCCTTGGGGGCAGGAAAGCAACATTTGAAAGGTGAAGAGCCCCAATTCCAAGGAGGAAAGGATGAAGGCTTTGAAGACTTTTTAACACACAACCAAAAAGAAAAAAGAAAAACAACGAATAATTAATCCGCCCGTGATGGTGAAGGGCTTTGAAGATGAAAGTGTCATTAAAAATCCAACTGTACGGGTTAATGTCAAAGAATGTGTTATCGCGCCGAAAAATCAGGTTTCCTGTTCTGCAAACCAGCACATTAAAGGCGGGTTCGGCTTTAAAAGTCCAACTTAAAAACAGGAGAAGCAAAAACCCCCTCATTTACCCTCAGACTTTCTGCCTGCGCCTTGGGAGCCAAGGTGTCGCCCTAACATGTTTTATTTATTTATTTATTTATTGTTTTTTTGACAAGTCCTTCGTTTCCCTGTTTACTTTAAATGATCTGCCCCAAGCAACTGGAAAAACACTTCCATCAAGGCACATAATAGAGAAATAATTATTCCTTTCAGGCATAGGTTAGTCACATTTTTGAAAAGCCTAACTCCCTATGAGGTTTTTTCCTAGCAAACATATGTCATCTTTTTAAAAATATATATATTTTATTGATTTTTTACAGAGAGGAAGAGAGAGGGATAGAGAGTTAGAAATATCGATGAGAGAAACATCGATCAGCTGCCTCCTGCACACTCCCTACTGGGGATGTGCCCACAACCAAGGTACATGCCCTTAACCAGAATCGAACTTGGTACCTTTCAGCAGGCCGAAGCTCTATCCACTGAGCCAAACCAGTTAGGACTAATATGTCATCTTTTTTTAAAAAATATATATTTTATTGATTTTTTACAGAGAGGAAGGGAGAGAGATAGAGAGCCAGAAACATCGACCAGCCGCCCCCTGCACACCCCCCACCGGGTGCTCTTGACCAGAATCGAACCCGGGACCTTTGAGTCCGCAGACCGACGCTCTACCACTGAGCCAAACCGGTCTCGGCTAATATGTCATCTTAATTTCTCAGTAAAGTCAAACCTGGAGAAGGCCCTTCCTGCTGGGAGAAAAGCCCACCTGAGAGGCAGGTAGACAATTAGATCACAAGGTGTGTTTTTGTTTTGTTTTGTTTTTTGTTTTGTTATGTCAAAGATATTGGCCTTTATTCTAAGAATGACATAAAATAAGTGGTGTATTTTGAGCAGGGAGATGATTGAGTAAAGTTTGTTTTTTAAACCGATCACCACCTGCAGAGTGGAGAATAGATTTGGAGGGTGGGGAGCAAAGGAGAGAACAGTTAAAAGATATTTTCCCCACTCAGATTGGCAGAAATGAAAAAGATTGCTAGCATCCCGGGCAGGCAAAGATTTGGGGAAGGGGCAGAAGCATCAACTGCTACACGCTTTTGGGAAAATAAGTATTGAAATGAATAGTGCGCATCACTTATCCTTTGACCCAGAGATCCCTACAATTTGTCCAAAAATAAATGCACCTATATTAATATCGATTGCAACATTGTGTGTAGTGGATTTTAAGAAAGAAAAAAAAGGAAATGGCCTGAATGTCCACCAGTAGTGAGAAGCACTGTTTTACTCACAAGCTGCGAAGGTGGGGGAGTAGGCGGGGCCGCCTTCTCCAAGACAAAAGAGACAAAAAGAGGAGGTTCTGACTCGCAGTCACTCTTCAGTCAGTTTTGCCCCAGATACATGTTCTCTGCAACTTTAAAGATGTCTCCCACAAGACTGGCTAGATTGAGTAGCAGGGATGCTAAACCTCCAAGGACACTGGGCTTATAAAGGGGGAATGCAGGCCACTAAAAATCAGGTTCAAAGCCCTGGCTGGGTAGTTCAGTTGGTTAGAGCACATGTGTCAAACACAAGGCCCGCGGGCCAAATCCGTCCCGCCAGGCCTTGCAATGTGGCCCGCACCGCGCTGTCATCACTGCACTCCGCTGCGTTTCCATCACAATGACAGTTTATGACTGTTCAGTAAACCATTCGGCCCGCGATTTAGGATGGATTTTAGATTTTGGCCCCTTCTCTGATTGAGTTCGACACCCCTAGGTTAGAGTGTCATCCAATACACCACGGTTTCAGGTTCCTCTCTGGTCAGGGCACATACAAGATACAAGAAACAGCCAATGAATGCATAAAAAAGTGAAACAACCAATCAATCTCTTCTCTTTCTCTCTCTCTCGCTCTGAATTAAAATAAAATAATAATAATAATAATAATAATAATAATAATAAAAAGGCCAGGTTCAATAGATTTAAAGGCATATCCAGGGTCAAGGAAAACTTCCACCCCTAAAACTCAGACAGGTCCTTCGTCACTTGCTTGAAACATGTGAGGTGAAGAGACTTTGCTCCACTGTGAAATGCCTGATATCACATTACAGATTTGGGCTTCCTAGTCTCATGACACAGAGGTGTATTCACTCTTCTGGCCCCATATTCGCAACTATCACAAGAGGGAACAGGGAAACATACGGTATTATGAACTCATGATAGCCATCAGATCCCTCACCGGTGTAGTTCACACTCAGACTGATTTTCCGACAGGATTCTATCCAATCAGCCTTTTTCTATATAATAAACTGTATCACCACATGCAGCATCCACCAGGGGTCTTCTTAAGTACAACTCAGCATCGAGATTCGCTAAGACCACCATGGGCTCCACTGAGCATCAGATTCATTTGGAGGGAGCCATAGCAGTGTTAAGGTGTTGCCCCTGCCTGGGAGTGCATGCAGTAATCTACAAAGTGATCACACAGCTGCTCCCTCCTAACGGGCCTGCCACCACATGACAGCTCAGGTGCAAGGAAAGAAGACTTATGCCAGGTTCCTGGGGCAGCTGCCCTGACTTAGAAGACTCATAACTCTCAGGAGCCAGTCTTACTTGTACCCATCCCACAGACACAGCTTCCAGGGACCCACCAGGGCCAATTAAAGAGTTTTCACACTCAGGAAAGCCCAAAGCTATGCTCTCCCATCAGGTAATTACAGTTTTGCCAGACCAAATGCAATTTACCAATCAAGTAATTGCTCTAATATAAGTAACGTCGGCTAACGACATAGTTGACAAGTCTATTTTATCAGGTTTTAGAGGAACAGGTAACAGAAAGTTAACTGAAGGTCCAACTGCCATGCAGAAGGGTAAAAGCTTTATTAATCCTGTACCCTTGTCACTATATTTCCTTTTAAAGATAATATAACTTACAGCCAGATTTAAAGAACCACAAATATTTAGGTACAATCTAGTACTATTTTCTTTTTGTCTCATCTCAAATGCTATTTGTGTTTTAATCTTGTCTCTGCCATTTTTTTTTTATCATATAGAAATGTAAAATTTTAATGTAGTCAAATACATGAATTCTTTCCTTATGGTTTTTGTCTTTTCTTTCTTATTTAGGCTACCTCTCCCACCACGTGTTTTACAAGGCCTTACCTTGTCTATGTGGCACCTTGGTGTGAGTCAGAAAAAGGCTTGGAGAATGGGTGGCTGACTACAGTTCACCTGGGATAACTATTGAGCAAGGATGACCAAAGAAGAACAAGAAAGGTGTATCCAGGAGAAATAAATAAACAAACAAACAAACAAACACATTTTGGGATTCTAATTGGGATTGTCTTAAATATACAGATTAATTGAGAGAGAATTGACTTTTTGTTTAAAAATCCTCACCTGAGAATATTTTTTTCCATTGAGTTTTAGTGAGAGTGGGAGGGAGGGAGGGAAGAAGGAGCGGGGAGAGAAACATTGATGCAAGAGAGACCCATCAATTGGTTGCCTTCCATACTCACCCCAACAGGGACTAGGGATTGAGCCTACCAGTGAGATACCCCTTGACTGGGAATCGAACTCACAACCCTTTGGTTTGTTTTCACTGAGAAAATCAGCCTGGGCAAGAATGGACTTTTTATAAAACACTAGAGGCCCGATGCATGAAGATTCATGCAAAAATGGGCCTTCCTTCCTCTGGCTGCTGGCACCACCTTCTCTTTGGCCTGATGCCGCCTTCCTGCCTTCCCATACTATAAAGGGGGACCTGGATTGGCTGGGGTGGTGAGGAACACCTGCATCATCACCATGGCAATGATGCAAGCATCCTGCTCTGCCCCTGGCTGCTCAGCACCTGTGTATGCAAATTAACCTGCCTTTTTTTTTTTGTTGGGCCAATTTGCATGTCCACTCCTGATTGGCTGGTGGGCGTAGCAAAGGTACAGTCAATTTGCATCTTTCTCTTTTACTAGTGTAGATTGAAGCTCTCTTATAGGAACATAGAACTCATTAATTCAGGGTTTCTTTTTTGCCCTTTAATAAAGGTCCACAGATTTCTTCATGTAGATTTTACATATTTCTAGGTTTGGTTGCTGGTGTGAATGGGATTTTTTTCTATTCTTCAAAGCTACTGATTTACTTATTCCAGACATTGCAGAGATCTCTCTTATTAATTCTAATGGTTTTTGAGGCAAAAATCTTCATACAATTAAATGCACATTATTAAATACCCAATTTAATGAGTTTTGCTAACCATATACAGTTGTAAAGCAAAATCCCATTCAAGATAGTTCTAATCATTATTTTTAAAAGATGATTTTGTAGGATTTTAACTATAATCATATTGTCTATTGATACTATAGTTTTAGTAATCATAGTTTTGTTTCTTCCTTGTAATAACTCATTTATTTTTCTTATTGAATTTCACTGATCTTCAGTCCAATTCTAACTGTAGTAGGAATAGCTAGCTAGCATCCTTATTTTTTCCAGGAAAGCTTCTAATGTTCCACCATGTAGAAGATACTCTTTATCAAATTAAGGAAATTTATTCTACTTTAGTTTGCTAAGAATATTATCAGAAATGGCTATTAGATTTTATCAAATGCATATGTAAAGATAACCATGCATATTTTCTTCTTTATTAGTGCAGTAAACTCCAATAAGAGATTTGCTAACGTTGAGGCTTTTTGCATTCCTGGGATTAATCTTGTGGAGTCATAATTCTTTTAATACATGGCTGGTTTCAATTTGTTAATATTTTATTGAGACTTTGTTCTCACAGTCACACATTATATTGGTTCATACTTTTATATTCTCGTGCTCTCCTTTTTTTAAAGTTTCAGCATTAATTAAAACTTAAAAAAAGTTGAGTAGCTTTCCATCTATTTCTATGCTGTGGAAGCATTTGTAAAAGGTGGAAATAATCTATTCCTTGAAGACTTGGTAAACCACATCCTAATAACTACATGGAAGTTCTTAAGTGCTACATTTTCAGTTACTTTTTAATTTCTTTTATCCTTACTGTTGGAATTTTAGGAGGCCGCTGGTAATGCTCTTATCTTTCCCTCCTGAGTTGTCATCCACCTTCATGGGCCACTACTACTCCTTTGTGATCATCCTAGAATCACAAATGAGCAATTTAATTTTTATGCATTAAAACCCTAAAATAGCTGAAACCGGTTTGGCTCAGTGGATAGACTGTTGGTCTGCAGATTGAAAGGTCCTGGGTTTGATTCTGGTCAAGGACATGTACATTGGTTGCGGGCACATCCCTGGCAGGGGGTGTGC